GAATGGCCCAACATGAAATACCCTGACATCTACAACTATTTGTGTCTTAAACGCTCATTTTTTGGGTCGACAGCTTATAAAAACGTAGTTCTGTGTTCTGTTGTATTATGTTGTATTACACCTTGTCACATAGTAGCTTTTAGACATGGTTTTGTTTTTTGTTATAAGTCAGAAGTGACAAGGAGCAGCTTCCTGCAATACAAAGTCAATGGAGGGGGTTGTATTGTTGGATTGCCTAAATGCGCTCTGTCTCTATGCTCACCAGGGCTGCTTTTATTTGATCAAAAATACAGTAAAAATAGTAGTAGTGTAAAATATTATTACAATTTAAACTAACTGACTTCTATTTCAACATACTGTAAAATGCAATTTATTCCTGTAATCAAAGCTGTATTTTCAGCATCATTACTCCAGTCTTCAGTGTCACATGATCCTTCAGAAATCAGTATAATATGATGATACGTTTAACGCGTCGTAAATCCTCAAAAGTTTTTTTCCTCAAAAGCCATGGATTAGTTTTGTATGATGCAACCCACTGCAGCATGTAGCATGTCACCATTGTTGAGATTCATACACTGATTCTTGATGTTTGTATGACAAACAAGTTTTATTTATTTTTTAAATCCTTGAAATTATCTTATTAAAATCTGCTGGGTCTGTTGAACCATTGAACCATTGAGTTGCTATAGTAAATAATATGCAACTAATACCATAGATTAGACTGGATGAAATCAGACCGCTACATGTTGATATTTTAATCATCAGCAAGCAACCAACACCATCTAATCTCTTGCTGTTTTGCCATAACAAACATAGCTACAGCAGCTAGAGAAACATTGAAAAGTCAAGAGTCAAATTGCTGAACTGAAGCTAACACTGATCACCATAATGGTGACATCAAACCAAACTATTACTTTCAAACAGACATCAACATCTAAACCTCTTTTAATCTCAATAAAACCTAAGATCTCAATTTGTAATTGTATGACAGAAATAAAGTCAATCTGGTTTATATTAAGTTATTTAATGAAGTTGGATCTTCATCAAACAAAGGTTTGGTTTTTACTTTCAACCAAAATTTGACATCTGAGCAACATTTGAGTCCACATCCAATGTCCAATGGAAAGTTTCCCACTAGAATGTTAGAGGATAATGTTCTAACAATGTTATCAATAAACATATTTAGAATGTTTTTAGAGAATGTTATCCTATCTTTTAGCAGAACATTCTGGGAACTAAAATAAAACTTGCCGCTGAAAACATTACCAGAACATATATAATGTTCTCGGAACATTCTAAGAACAATAACATTCCTAGCTGGGGACACTTGTTATGGAATATTAATGTTATAAAAGTGTTAATGTTGTTTTATAAGGTGGCCGTGGTGTAGTTGTCGGTCCAATCCTCAGCGACACAAGGTCTGACATTTTTTGCGACAATGAAAATGGACCCAACTTCCTGTTCAAGAACAACGGTGATGGAACTTTCACAGACGTGGCCGCCGAGGCAGGTGAGAAACCTGACTTTATATTTACAGTACTGATTTGTAATCCTCCCTCAGACTTGTGTTTTATGGTTTGATGACAGGAGTTGAAGACAGATATCAGCACGGGAGAGGTGTGGCGCTGGCCGACTTTAACGGCGACGGAAAGACAGACATTGTTTACGGCAACTGGAACGGTCCACACCGCCTCTACCTGCAGGACGTCCAGCAGAGATTCAAGGTGAGTCACATCTGAGCAAAACAACCTTTGATTAATTACAATTTTTGTATTGTTTTCAGTTAAAATATCAACAAAGTCCAGTAAAACAAAATGCACTTCAGTGCGGTAAGACAATCTATGAGAACAAATCATCAGAGAATAAATATATTTTGATGTAAATATATTTCAAAATATACAAAACTGGCCAAAAATATACATTTGTTAAATACATTTCAAAATATATATTCTGAAAATATATTCTCTACCCATATATTTTTGTTTGCAATATAAGTTTTTTTTGTAAATATTTGGAAATGTATTTTAATAATATAAATATAAATCATCAGTCCATGAAAATACATTCACATATGTCATTTTTGAAGAAAAACTTTGCTTGTCTGTAACACATGTGAACATATAATAGTTCAATAAAAATAGTGAGAAGGTGGAAACTAAATATATAAAAACAAAATTTTTAAAATCATATAGATTCACTGTTTAGAACATATTTAAAAAACATTTTGGAAATAAATAAATGAATGAATGAATTAATTTTTTTTTGCCATATGGGTCTATATAAATCTGTATCTGTAATGATGAATCAGTCTGTTGTGTTGTTGTAGGACGTCGCCACACAGGCCTTCGCCACTCCGTCACCCGTTCGCACCGTCATCGCTGGCGACTTTGACAACGATCTTCAGCTTGAAGTCTTCTTTAACAACATTGCTTACCAAGGAAATGCCCCCAACAGAATCTTCAGGTACTTCACCTCTGATGTCCGATATTCACTGATATATATTTATATTGTTTAGAGATTATAATGTCTTTTTCAATAGGTAATTTGTCCTTGTAAATCAATTTTCAGTAATTGTAATACAGTTGAAATAAAATAAAATATAAATATTAGATAAACATAACTTAAAAAATAAAATGAAATTTAGAATAATTCCTAAAACTAAAACTGAAATAACACTGGCTTTTGTGTGTGTAGGGTGTCGAGGAAGCAGAACTCTGACCCTGACATCACGGAGCTGGATGTGGGCGACGCCTCTGAGCCTCAGGGGAGGGGCACAGGTGAGATCACATGACCAGAGCCACTTCCTGTGTAGATAAACAACCTTATGTCTTTCTTTAATAACTGCCAGCATTATAACGTGATGTTCTGGTTGGGTAACAGGTGCCACAGTGACAGACTTTGACGGTGACGGTCTGCTGGATCTGTTGGTGGCTCACGGGGAGAGCGCCTCTCAGCCCATCTCTGTGTTTAAGGTCAACCAGGTATGTCAGAAAGTTTATTTCCAATGTAACAATCCATGACTTCAGACTTTTGGACCTCACTGTTTATGTACTGTATACATTGTCTCTTAAGTTCCGACATAAAATTCAGTGTAAATAAACATTTTTAATGGTCAGCTCAGCATGCTTTCTTGTCCTTTCCGCAGGGCTCCTCTAATAAGTGGCTGCGTGTGGTGCCGCGCACACGTTTCGGTTCGTTCGCTCGTGGAGCAAAGGTGGTGATGTTCACGAAACACAGCGGCGCACACACTCGTATCATTGACGGAGGATCAGGCTATCTGTGCGAGATGGAGCCTGTGGCTCACTTTGGGTTAGGTATACAGATCAGATCATTTACAAATTAATTCAGTCATTTCATTTAAATAATTTTATGCCTGATTTATGATGTATTAGTGTAGGAAAAGCTGCTTTATTCTACATATACATACATATGCCACCGTTCAAAGTTTGGGGTGAGTTAGATTTAATTTGAAATAAATTAATACTTCTTATTCAGCAAGAATGCATTAAATAGATCAAAAATTACATTTATGATGTTACTGTAAATGCACAAAATGTTTCTTGAGCAGCAAATTAGCATGATTTCTGAAGGATCATGTGACACTGAAGACTGTAGTAGTGATGCTGAAAATCCAGCTTTGCACCACAGGAATACATTACATTTTAAGGGATATTCACATAGAAAACAGTTATTTTAAACTGTAATAACATTTCACAATACAAAATTTTTTACTTTCTTGTTGATCCCAAGAGACTTCTTTTTAAAAAATTTTTTAAACATTTAAATGTATTTCATTTTGACTCATTCTATCTCAGTAACTACTCTAGCTATTAGCATATGAGATTAATAGTCTCTTTTCATTGGCTCTTAGGAACCGATGAGGCCACCAGCATTGAAGTCTACTGGCCGGATGGTCGCTCCATCGCTCGGCCGCTCGAGTCCGCTGATATGTACACAGTCATTGAGGTCGCATATCCTAATGAGGGGGAGGAGTCAGCACTCACATCTGATGCACAGGTACGACTGCATGCAAATGAGGAGGAGGAGTCAATGCACACCTTACACAGCCAGGTATGGAGAATATGCAGTTTAGGAACAGACATTTGATAACGAAACACAAATGTATTATTATCTGATGGTCAATATTATCTGGCTTCAATAAAATATGGTGAATACTGAGGTACGGCTCTGTATTGATTCTCTGCAGTGTGGAGAGGGATTCACAGTCAACACAAACGGCCGTTGCATTGGTAAGATTATCTGTGAATTTCATGCTCAGTTCACAATTGCTCCAAATTTTAGTAAAAATGGTAAAAACATTTCTAAAAGCATTTCTGTAACTCTTGGAATTCAAGACAACATACACGATTTCATTTTAAATGGCTTTAAATGTCACAAATGTCCAAAAAAGTTGTTTTAGTACAAAAGTGCAAAATACAATTCATGACTATTTATGCTCAGTGCATTTCCTCAATGACAAAAAAACTAATTTTGGACCCCGTTTTGCATATTAATGAATATGCAGATTTTATTGCTCAAATTGGCTGAGAAGGTTTAAGAGCTCAGATCTCTTGAGTCTCAAAAATTGCAGAGAGAAAAGATTTTAAATGTAATGCAAACGTTGATCTAATGTCTTTTGGCAGTTATTCCAGTACACACTTAATTAACACATCTGAATGATTATAAAACATTGACATGTTTTCTCTCTCTTGCCCCTCAAACAGCGAGAGCCTGAGTATTTTCAGCTGGACATTGAGTGTCATCATCTCATTAAATCAGAGCTGTGCTGTCAGATGTCTGATACTGAACCAGTTATTCAGCAAACTCAACCACAGATGCAAAACCTTCAGTCGTTACTGCAAAATCTTTCCTGTAGTGCTATTGAAACTGAACACTTGTACTGTTATTCATCACATTTCTAAGGGTAAAATGATAGTCAGCCCTAACTAAATCTGAAAATGTTTACATCAGACACACTTGTTTCTTTTCTTTTTATTTCCTTTTTTTTAGAACTTGTTTACTCAAAATTGGAATGGTGTGCAATACTAATAAAGCAATCGTGAGGGAGCGCCCAGTCTGTGAGTGTGATTCTGTCTCCATTTCCTTCATGCTGTTGAGACGTAAACGAGTGCAGGCGTCTGCCAGCCGTGTGTCCTCACACTCGTCCGGTGTGCACCAACACATACGGACACTATAAGTGCAGCTCTAAGAAGAGATGTGTTGAGGGCTACAAGCCCAGCAGAGACGGCCGAGCGTGTGTGGGTGAGTGCAGGTGACGTTCAGATTTAAGTTTAGGAAGACAAAATACACTGAATGAATGTAGCAGGATAGATGCAGTTCTGAGAATGTCTCTACTTTCTGTCCATTGGTTAACTACACTGCAAAAAAGTGGTATAGGATTTAGGCCTAACTGTCACTCCCATCTTTGAGCATTGATGTGAAAATGCACTAAATCTGAATTTAAATGGCTGTAATTCATGAATGCTGTAATACAGACCTATGGTTGGTTTCTTTAACAGACACTCAATAGATTATTGCGAAAGTGAAAGCACTTCAATAAATAGGATTACTGTAAAGCAAATGCACTGCACTAAATACAAAATGTATAATACAAAATCATTTGGACTTTAAAATCAAAGAAATATGTTTAACAAATTTGTGTTTCAAATTTGAAGTTGATATCACAAAAATTTCTGTTCTTGGGAGATTTTGTTTAGGCACTATACTAAATATCACCACCAGGTGACTATAAAATCGTGCTGTAAATTTAGTAAAATTTGAAACAATGACAGCGCCCACTAGGGGAAGGAGCCCGCTAAAAGTTAAAGGGGTCATCGGATGCAAAATTCACTTTTGTTGTTTGAACATAAATGTGTGTTGGAAGTGTGTGTACACATCCACCCTATAATGATAAAAATATCCACCCAGTGTTTTTTTTTTTAAATCCCCTTTCTCTAATCAGGCTGTTCTGAGATTCCTGTCAGAATGAGGTAGTTCTGCGCAGGCCGCTCCCACGATAGTTGATTGACACTAGCGTCTTACCTTAGACCCGCCCTGAGTGAGCTGTCCGCCATTGTGTCGACTCCGGTGCAGGGGAAGACAAGAATGTCTCCGATTAGGCAATTGAGGTGTTTTGTTGTTGGATGTAATAATGAACATAGCAGTCGTCATTTACTCCCAACATCTGAGCCGCTGAAGATGCAGAGGATTACTTTTGTTTTTGAAGGGAATGCGCCCCCCCGATCTACCTAAATGCATTTTGCGATTTGCATTTTGCGTGAATCATTTTACACCAGACTGCTTTGTAAACGAGGGTCAGTACAAAGCTGGTTTTGCTAAAAAGTTATTCCTGAAGGATGGATCAGTAGCTTCACCACCAGAAGAAGTGAGTATAAGTTTTTGCCTCATTCTGTTTATGAAGTACTGACACAAAGTTGAAATGATTTGCAACGGTCGCTTTGTCGTGTCCACTACATTAAGGTTGCCTTTGTAGAGGGTTTATAAAGGTGTCGGACCCTAATGATGACATGTAGATGGAGAAGATAAGTGGTCCAAGCACTGAGCCCTGAGGAACCCCAGTAGCAAGAAGTTGTGACTTAGAAGCCTCACCCCTCCAAGACACCTTGAAGGACCTACCTGAGAGATAAGACTTGAACCACTGGAGTGCAGTTCCTGAGATGCCCATCT